TCCACAAATTCAATCTTATCAATGACTGCTTCCACGCTTTCTGTAATTATTTCGTTGTTTCAAACTCTCGCAGTTTTGTAAAAGCAAATTGTGGGTACTATACACTTAGCAGATTTATCTAATTGAGCGAGAGCCAATTGAGATCTGCGGGTGCGTAGAACATTTTAAAGTACCTACCTCTGGCAATCTCAATATCCTTAACGCCGCTGTCATATTGATGGTCCTGGTCAAGCTCTTGGTATTTGACTCTTTTCCACCCACGGACGTTTTTCCATCCACACCAGTCAACGGACGTATCACACGGTTGATCATCTAAATTGATTAACAACATATTTATTCCGTTTTAATTGAAAAATGAACTAAATTCAGTATCGATTGAGTTAAATTTATGATAGATTAGGGTGTTGGTGAACGATAGCGTAGAGGTTGGTGTACTTGAATCCTGATGAGTGGTTTGGGTTCGAGCCATGACCGGGGTCAATTTGTAATGCGAGCAAGAAAGATTTTGACAGTATCTCTCTACACTAAGGTGTATAATGGAGTTGGGCGGGAGGGGGGGGGAGGGGGCGCTAGGATTGACAGCCATCTTATCCAGGGGGAGGTGGAAAAACATGCTCAGAAATCAGGGATGAGGAGCTGCACTTAGCATATGAAGGGAATGAACAGGATAAATAGGTTACAAGTTATCATATCAACGAATTTAAGTATAGCTCTATTATAAGATCACTTGGTAACCACTCACTACACGTCTTAATTCTGACATCTTTGCAGTGAACCCTCCTTCAATAAAGGAGAAAGACAAGCAATCTGCTGTCAATTGCTAAGACTAAAACGGCTTACTATGGCGACAAATCTTTCCAGGTTGTTGCACCAAAACCCTGGAACGACTCACGAAATGTCATTAAGCAGTTTTCCTCCGTGGATTGTTTTAAATCAAGACTAATTAAAACTTTTTAGCGTTTTTTAGAACAGGGTTTTCATGAACAAGACTGTAAAAGACATTGAGACCTCGATGTAATGTATAAGTCAGTTTAAATATTATATCCAGAATACTGTTAAACTCTACAATGACGTCTAGCTGTCTGCCTTCGGTATTTAGTTTAAGCAACCGGTAAATAGTTACCATAACAGAACACACATATCTATAAAATAGTAAATATCTCATTTCAATCTTTAATAGCCTGTGAAAGGTTAAAAATAACGGAGGAAAGCCTACAGTACCTTGACAGCCATACAGCTCCACTCTCATTGATATGTGGCCAAACCAAGCTTGCGGTAGAAAGCGGATGTAACGTGCCTTGATTGGCGGGCTTAATTCATGATATACCACAGTGTCCTGGTCGATGTTTCCAGTAAAATTCTAAATGGCAAAGATCGTAGCATGTATAAAGGACTTATCGTGGTCAGAATTGATCCCTACAACTTGGATTCTTTCATTAACCAAGTAATCTTCATCTTGTCTAACAACTAGAGAACATCAACATGCGTGGATAGGTGTCAAGACTAATTACTTTTTCAAAGAATTCTCCAGAAAATAAGCCATTTAATCTCCTTGCCGCTTGAAGGTGAATCCTCTATATTTTAAAACTGGCAAGAATTTGACCCAAGAAATGTAAGAAATGTAAGAAATGTAAAATAGTTTTTTTAGGTCGACATGTATTTCACCTTATATGCAGTTTTTCCTTGATCCCTGTAGTATTGGAAGTTCACTCCATCGTTACTATACTGCAGTTTGTACTTGGTTACCCACTGGGGGTAATTGTTTCTTCCTTGCGTTGCTACACGTGTCACTTCGGTGTGCCGACTTCCCAGATCAATCTGGAACCATTGGTTAACATCGTTGCTGCGAGCAGACCAAGATCCCGCTTTGCCTGAAGTTGCTTTAAAATGAAGTCTCCCATGGATAACGGCATGACTGGAATCCAGTTGCGAAGAAGCACTTATTTGACCATCGGAGATTGAGCCATCTTCCATGCCAAGAGCGCCCAGACAAGCTAAAGATTTTATGTCGTCATTTATTTAAGAAATAAAAAACATTTTCCTTGTTTCTATCGAGCTGGGATGACGAGAATGCTGCGGGAACACGAGCCGATCGATGAGTGTTTCTACAGCTTTTTCGAGTTCTCCCAAACTTTCACGACTATGAGCTCGAGATTTCTATCACGCATAGCAGTCGAGAGCGAATAATCTAATTGTTTTAGTACAAATCTAGCAGTCGTTCAAAACTTTAATCTAAATCCTCTTCAAAGACACTTCGAAAACAGAAAGAAGCGACCCCCAGCGCACGCTGCTACGCTAGTCACTATCTACAGCTAGATAGATAGTGATAGATAGTGATTAGCGTAGCCAATCAGAGAACGGCATTCATGATAGAACGCTGGTAGATTTATACTTGAAGTCGATACAAACACGAGGAAAATGTTTTTTTTTTATTTTCATCTGCTTTTTTTGGTTAGAAAACAGACCAAAGAAAATAACGAACAGCATGACAAGAGAACTTTATTTAATCATTCAACGCGCGTATTTCTTTTGAGTTATTTTTTAAAACAAATAAGTAAATGAATAAAATGATGTATAGTTCCTAAACCGCTAGTTACAAAAGTATACGAGTTTTGAAACAATCCAAAATGTCAGTGTTTTGAATGTACCAGTAACTAAAATTTTTAAAGGTGTCCATTTTAAGCTTCTTTTATTCATCTATTATTATTATTATTATTA